GATAGCAGCAGGAGCCAGAGGAGAGGTGCAGGACTCAGAGGAGGAAGTGTCACTGTGGGTGGTCAAGGAGGGCTTCCTGAAGGAAGAGGCATAGTTAGTGAGGGCTGGTTGGCCTAATAATAGCGACTAACAGTTACTGAGCACTAACTAGGTACCAGGTACTGTGCTAAGTTTGTTGTCACTTTTAGTCCTTGGAACAACCCAGTGGGATGGTTATGATCAACAGCCCCATTTTGTAGGTGGGGAAACTGAGGCACAGAGAAGGCAGGCACTTTGCTCCCAGTCAACTGTTAAGGACAGGCATGCCTTGTTTTATTGCACATCACTTTATCAGGCTTCACAGATACTTCGTGTTTCACAAGTTGAAGGTTCCTGGCCACCCTGCATCGAAAAAGTCTGTTGGTGTCATTTTTCTAACATCTTTTGCTCACTTCTTGTCTCTAGGTCACATTTTGCCAATTCTCATAATAATTTAAGCTTTTTCATTATTTTATTTGTTATGGTGATCTGTGATCACTGATCTTTGATGTTACTATTACTGCTCATTGAAAGCTGAATGATGGCTAGCATTTTGCAGCAATAAAGTATTTTTTAATTTAGTTATACACATTGTTTTTTATACGTAATGCTATTGCACATGTTATGTTCGTGTAAATATAACTTTTATATGCACTGGGCACCCAAAAACGTGGTGTGACTCACTTTATTGCCCTGTTTGCTTTAATGTAACAGCCTGGAGCAGATCCCATCATATCTCTGAAATATGCCTGTGGTGCAAATAGGCAAACCCAGGCAGTCTAGTTCCAAGGTCTGCCCAGCTAAGTCCATGTATTGAGAGCCAGGCCTACATACAGGGCATTTTACTCACGCAGTCTCATTCCCATGAGATGGCATATCTGTGCCCATTGTACAGAAGAGGAAGTGGAGGCCGTGAGGTGCCGTCATTTGCTCTTTGTGGTCAGTGCTCTTTTCCCTCAAGGCCCTGACACAGAGTGTGGTTTGGGGGCTTGGACAGGCGTGGGAGGCTGGAGGGCAGTGCCCGGCTGACTCTGTCTTCTCTCGTCTCAGGCCCTGGGCTGGTCCTTCGTGCTGCTGACCACACTGCTGGCATTTGTCGTGCGCTCTGTGCGGCCCTGCTTCACACAGGCCGCCTTCCTTAAAAGCAAGTACTGGTCCCACTACATCGACATTGAGCGCAAGCTCTTTGATGAGACGTGCACGGAGCACGCCAAGGCCTTCGCCAAGGTCTGTATCCAGCAGTTCTTCGAGGCCATGAACCACGACCTGGAGCTGGGTCATGCCCATGGGGCGCTGGCTGCCGGCCCCACTGGCTCGGCTGTCCCCGCCGCCACAGAAGGGGCGGATGAGGAGAGGGAGAAGCTGCGTGGCATCACCGATCAGGGCACCATGAACAGGCTGCTCACGAGCTGGCATGAGTGCAAGCCGCCCCTGCGGCTGGGCCAGGAGGAGCCACTGGTGGGCAACGGCTGGGCTGGGGGCGGGCCCCGGCCTTCACGCAAGGAGGTGGCCACCTACTTCAGTAAAGTGTGAGCCGCAGCCAGGTGAAGAGGTGGGAATGGGGGTGTGAGCCCACAGCTCCTCAGACCCCCAAACTGGATGAAGAAATGAAGGCTGCAGGTGCTGGCTGTAGGCTCCAGAGCAGAGCCACATGCCCAGGCACTCACCTGCCCATTTGAGGTGGGAAATTTGGAGTTGGAAGGGGACCTCAGTCCCGCAGCTATGGGACTATCCTGGAAGGTCCTGGAGTTATCGGGCCATGAGCAGTATTAGTCAGAGGGATTCAGAACTGCCTTTGGGGGAGACAAGCTGCCATCTTCCCAGCCCCTCCCAGGTCACTTCACCCCTGGTTCACTGTCTCCTCTCAGGCCCTGTGAGCACCTTGCCCCAGCGTTCACTCATCTGTGATTTTTTTTTAAGGATCTTAGTTCCCTTATGCTCAAGGCTCAGGGAAGTCCAGCCACCTCATGAAGCAGGAATCCTCTGATTCTGGCTGGTCTCCTGAGTGAAGCTGAACAGACCAAAGTGGGCCATAAGGACCTGATACAGCCCCACCTGATGGAACACACCTATGGTCACAGGTGATAAGATATCAGAAGTTAGGTCCCGTCAGGAGAAGCCAGGGTGGCTCACCATGGAGGTCACTCAACATCATCAAGGCGGACTGCACACTTACTTAGCCCTGGCACGAAAGGCCCCTGTCTTAGTCTGTTTGAATTGTTCTAACAAATACAGCAGACTGGGTAGCTTCTAAATGACAGAGGCCTCTCTCACCATTCTGGAGACTGGAAGTCCAAGATCACGGCACTGCTATGGTCATGTTCTGAGAGAGGCCCTCTTCCTGGTTGGTAGAGCATGCCAGCTCACTGTGTCCTCCTGTGGTGGGTGAGACTGGGGGCTCTCTGGAGCCTCTTTTTAAAAATTTTATTTATTTATTTGGCTGCACTGGATCTTAGTTGTGGCATGTGGGATCGAGTCTCCTGACCAGGGATCGAACACAGGCCGCCTGCACTGGGAACAGAAAATCTTAACCACTGCAGCACCAGGGAAGTCCCTGGAGCCTCTTTTATAAGGCATGAATCCCATGCCTTGAGCACCTCCCAGAGGTCCCACTCCTTAATCCCATCGCCTCTGGGGGTTAAGATTCAACATATGAATTTGAGCAGGGGACACATTCAGACCATAGCACATGCCATGGGGAGGCCTTGGAGATGGCCCTGACATGTCCCTCACATCCAGATCTCAGGTAGAAATCAGACCATCCCCAGAACATTTAGAAAGGGAAGCTGACGTCTTCCCATGTTCTCAGAGACCACAACCCGGGGGGAGGGGGTTCTGAAGTGCTAATGGTCTCTGTCCTGAGGTGGGGGTGAGGGTGGAGGGGTGGGAGGGGAGCTACCTAGGGTGGAGATAACCCAGACTCAAGAGTGAGACAGAATGGGTCAAATGCTGGCTCTGCCACTTACAAAATGTGTCCCTTGGGTCAGTTGCTTCACTTTGCCTCAGTTTCCTCATTTGTACAAAGGAGATGAGGCATCAACCTCATGGGATTGTGTGAGCTTTAAATGGATGATGTAGGTAAAGTGCATGGCATGTGGTAGGCACTCAGTACCTGGAGGATAACATGGGTATCGATTTCCAAATCTGAGGGTTTCTCCTCCTCCTGGACAGAAGGAAGGGCTGTAAGGAACTAGAGCTTCCTTTGTCCAGGGGGAAGCAGAGGGCAAGAAGATGAGCTTCTTGCACCAAGACATCTTGGGGGCCTAGGTCCCACTTATCTAAGAATTCATTTGATCTTGAGCCTTACAACACTGGGTTAATAATTTTCATTCTTCCTCAGGCATCCTTCCCTCTATTCCCACTTCTGAGACCCAGTTTCTCTCCCTTTAATTATTTGGGAAGAGGGAGAAACCTGGAAGCCTAGGTAGGCTGGAATCTTCCTCCAGGAGGTGGGACTTACTCTAGGGGGCGATTCAGATGAGTAAACCAGGGGTGTGTTAGCAGCTGGGAGTGGGGAGGGGTGTTGTCCAGAGGAAGAAAGCCAGCCCAGAGTTATTGGGAAGTACAAAGGTGAAGGAGGGTGATCCAGGGATCCAGTGGTTAAGAATCTGCCTTGCAATGCAAGGGACACCAGTTGGATCCCTGGTGCAGGAAGATCCCACACGCAACTAAGCCCATGTGCCCCAGCTGCTTGAGCCTGCGCTCTAGAGCCCGTGAAACAGAACTACTGAGCCCTTGTGCTGCAACTAGGGAAGCCCACACGCCTAGAGCCCGTGCTCCGCAACAAGAGGAGCCACTGCAATGAAGAAACCCCAGCACTGCATCCAAGAGTAGCCTCCACTTGCCACAACTAGAGAAAGCCTGTGCACAGCAGCAAAGACCCACCACAGCCAAAATATAAATAAAAATAAATTTTAAAGAAATGTGAAGGAAAGAGTAAAATTTTAGGTCAGGCAAACCTGCATTCAAATACTGGGACTGTAGGACCTGTGGCAAGTCCTTTGACCCACAATCCTCTGACCCACAGAGGATTCAATCCCTGTGGGTCAATTCCTCTGACCCTCAGTTGTCTGTCTGTCAAACGGATGTTTAAAAGACCTGCTTTTCAGGATTATAGTGAGGTTAAAGGATAACTCCTGAGGAAGAATCTGGAACTGTATCTGGGACATGGTAAGATGTGAAAAAATGAACACTGGTCCTTTTCCCTTCATTCCTGCACGTGAGTAAGCCCAGCTGAGGGAGGCCAGCAGGTTACTCAGCAGTTCTAAGGTCACAGAATCCCAAGACTGCAGAGTGGACAGGGATCCAGGGGTCTTTCCCTTGATCCAGGAGGGTGGGTCATTTACACTGTCTTTGGGCCGGGCTCTCCCCTTCAGCATTCCCGATCCTTGACTTTTCAGCCTCAGCTTGTATACCTCCACAGACAGGGATCTCACGACTACTTTCTGGAACAGGCTGGATAGCTCTAATTGTTACAAAGGTCTTCATCTGCCTCCTCCTAATTTCCACCCACCAGTCAGAGCTCTCCCCACAGGGCCTCAGAAAATCCCTGGAGTCCAGAAGTTTCTCATCAGTGCTCCTGAGATTTGAAGCAGCATCTGGGCAGTGAGTGGAAGTGAGGACAGAAGAACCAGCAGGGGGAAGGCTTGGTCAGAGAGGACCAGGATGGGGGAGGAGGCCTTTGGCTTTGCATACCCACTAGGAGTCAGCGTCAGTCTGGTGGCTCCTCTCCCCTAATCCTGCCTGGGGCTCGGTTCTGGCTGCTTCTGTCAGTGGGGATCAAGTAGAGGGGGTGCTCCTGAAACCAGCCTGGAGGACAGGCCCAGACCAGAAAGACCGGGGGCCCCCTGCCTGGCTCCCGAACTGGTCCCACTGGTGCGGAGCCTCTGAAGGCAGGCGGGCCGCTGCAAAACTGACTCCTCCACTTCCTCTCCTCTCCCCGCGCCGCCCGCCCTCCGCCCGCCCCCACTGCCTGGCGCCCGCCTGCCTGGAGGCTGTTTTTCCACTGGCTGGCACACCGTCCATCCCGCGGGGTTCAGCCTATTTTCTGGAGTTAAACTTTTCAGAAGACCCCAACAGCCCCAGGCCCTGCCCGTCTCTCCTGGGCAGAAGAAGCAAAGGGGGAGGGAGAGGGCATGGGCTGGTCCTCACCCAGAGTCTCTGATGTTTTTGCGCCACTTGGAGAGCCCTGCCCCTCGGAGGCCAAAGCTACCGGTGCCTGCAGCGGATCCCAGGTAAGGAAGGGGAGCACACAGGGCCATTCTGGGTCTACCCGGAGGGACTTTCCCAGGGAGCCAGGCCCCTCACTGAGCCCCCTCCTCCCACTCCCCAGGCACCTGTTTCCTGTCCTGACTGCTGTTGCTGGAGGTCCCATCCGGGCCTGGATATGACACTCCCAGGCCTGGGGCCCAAGGGCAGTATACTCAGGGGCAGTGTTCTCTCCTCTGCACACCACCCACCAGTGTTGTGATTTTTGAACGCAGGGGAGCATATTAGAGGCCGTTAAGCCAAGAGGACGGGCAGGGGCGGGGGGCTGCCTCTAACCGGATCATCCCTAGCAATATGGCAAACTCTTGTCTCCCAGGGAGTTAGAGTGGAGCTCCAGGACCACCAGAGACAGTGAGTTAGGGAAGACAGATCTTTTCTCCTTCTCCACTTGGCAACCCACGTGGCACCCAGCTCTGCCCCAGCCCATCAGGCAGTCTTGGCAGGAACCAGGAGGGACAGTAATCCAGAGAAGAGGCACAGAAAGAAATACTGGCAGGACTCCCCCACCTCTGTTTGCTGCCCGCCTCCCACCTCCCACGTCTCCACTCCCCAGCTGCCTCTGGCCTGAGGACTTTTGTTTTTCATCCCGGGATAGAAAGAAGAACAGGGGCCACACCCTTGCCTGTGTGGGCGGAGCCTGGGAAGGGAGTTGGGGCAGAACAGGGCTGAAGCTGGAGGCCAGGGCTACTTCCTGGCAGGCTGCCAGCACTGCTGCTACCCAGACAGAGCAGGCTCGAGAGACAGCCTGCCTTCGGAGGCCCCACTGTCTCTCGGGCATGGCCAAGCCTTAGGCTTCATCAAGGCCTTCTTTGCTGGCTGACTGGGCAGCCCCAGGCCTGGGGACCTGGGTGGAACATGGCTGCTGGACAAAGAAAGGGGAACGGATGGGGAAGGGGAGGCTTGCCAGCGCTCTTGTGGATGGGCACAGAGCAGGGGCAGTAGGAAACCAGGAAAACAGAGGGCTTGCTTAGCTTCACCCACCGTTGTTCACTTCCCAGGCCTCCTTAGGTCACGCTCAAAAGTCCCGCCCATGCACGTCCATATTTGAATAGCTTTGAGCAAAGCGCTTATCCTCTGGAGGTCTTAGTTTCCTGATCTTTGCCCCACGAAGAATTACCCCCCTCACCCCCTGCCATCAACCTCACCTCTGGGAGGCACTTTCAGGACTGGACAGGGTGAGATAGAGGATGTCATACATGACAGTTATCAGGCACCGTTTACTCCCTTTCTTTTCCTCCAGCATTCCTAAGAGGAGGGCAAGGGCCAAATGATTTATCCTCTTTTCACAGATGAGAACACTGAAGTCCAGAGAAAAGTCATGAAGTATGTTGAGAGCCAGGATCTCCTAAACCAGTCCAGACCCTGTGGTCTCCAAAATGAAAAGGCTCTTATGAACTCCATGGAGGCTGCACCAGGCTCTCTACTGACTGGAGACCCCTTCCTCCACACCAGCCCACAGCACAGGGTCAAGCCCAAGTCCCTCATCCACGGACACCCACTCCAGCTTTTATACCCATGGGCTGGACACCCGAGGACACACCCTCCAAACTGTCCTAGGTCCCCCAGCACCTTAGCAGTACCTGGAATCCCAAAGGGAAAGCCAGTCAATATCCCACATTCCCCAAAGCCACAGGGCCATTCCTAGTCCCCACCTCAAGGGAAGCTTATGGAGATGACAAGAACCTAAGTGTGTGAGGCAGACAGACCTGAGCTTGAATCTCAGCTCTGCACTCATGTGTGAGCCAGGCAGGCAATCACCCGGGGGAAGCCTCTACCTTCTCAACTGTGCACTGGGCTATCACAGCTCAGTGCAGGACCGTGATGATGGGCAATGAGGGATGCAAAATGCCTGACACAGAGTAGGAGCTCAGCGAACAGTGGCTACTCTCCCACCCAGGCCCTGGGGCTCCCCGAGTCTCCTTCATTCCTCACCAGCCTGACTTCACAAGAGCCCCCTTGGTCCCTATTTTCAGAGGCAAATACTGATTTGTCATCTACTGTCCCACAGGAAGCACCCAACTGGCCACTACAGAGGATGAAATGGCAAGACTGTGCCCTGCCTTCCAGTGCCTACTAGCCTGCAAGCTCTCATAGTCCCACCTGGAGCCATCACCCAGATCTCCTCCTGCCTCCACGCTTGCCGTCAGTCCTCCGGCTGACCCATCACCATGGCAGCCCTGATTGCAGAGAACTTCCGCTTCCTGTCACTCTTCTTCAAGAGCAAGGATGTGATGATTTTCAACGGGCTGGTAGCACTAGGCACGGTGGGCAGCCAGGAGCTGTTCACCGTGGTGGCTTTCCACTGCCCTTGCTCACCAGCCCGGAACTACCTGTATGGGCTGGCAGCCATTGGGGTGCCCGCCCTGGCACTCTTCCTCATTGGCGTCATCCTCAACAACCACACCTGGAACCTGGTTGCCGAGTGCCAGTACCGGAGGACCAAGAACTGCTCGGCTGCCCCCAACTTCCTCCTCCTAAGCTCCATTGTGGGCCGCGCGGCCGTGGCCCCCGTCACCTGGTCTGTCATCTCCCTGCTGCGTGGTGAGGCCTACGTCTGCGCTCTCAGTGAGTTTGTGAACCCCTATTCGCTCACGGTTGGAGAAAGGAGCTTCCCACTAGCCCATGCCACAGAAATCCTGGCCAGGTTCCCATGTGGGGAGGGCCCTGCCAACCTGTCAGTCTTCCGGGAGGAGGTCAGCCGCAGACTCAAGTACGAGTCCCAGGTAAGACTGTACCAAGAGAAGCTCCTCTTTTCTCCCCTACCTGATGGCGAGTGGGTAGGTAACAGCTCAGGGTTAACCCTGGAGTTAGTCCTCTGGGGCTGAGCTCTCCAGAAAATCACTAGATTATCAGTCTCAGGCATCAGAGCTGGGTATCCACAGGTTAGCGATTGGTGGGGCAAGGGTCAACGCCATCCCAAATAAGAGGGTTTTAAACATTAAAGGAATTTTCTTCTTGCTCAGTCCGAGCCTGATACCTGTCACAGATTAAGCCCTTTGCTCCAGCCGGATTGAGCACAAACCCCTGCCGTCTTACGAAACTTTTGCTGTTGGCCGTGAGCTGGTAGTGGAGGATGGCTGGCTCAGGGGACGAGCCTGTTCCTATCCCAGGAAAAGCCACTACCCAGCAGAGTCAGCCTCAGGCACTGGTAACAGAAGAGGAGTCCCTTGAGACAAGAGGGGTGTCCAGTCAGGAAGTAGCAGCTGCCGCCACGATCCTAGCCTCAGTCTCAGCTTAGTTCTGAAGGAGCGGAGTTGGTGGTAGAGGAGGTAAGGGCAGAGAGTTGGGCAGGAGCAGAAAAACAGCTTGTGTTAACTTGAAAGAAGCAGGGTGTGAGAAACAGGCAGAAAAGAGCAGTTTTCTTTTTTGGGGGGTCACGCTGCACGGCATGTGGGATTTTAGTTCCCTGACCAGGGATTGAACCCGTGCAATGGAAGTGTGGAGTCTTAACCACTGGCCCGCCAGGGAAGACCTGCGCACAGATTTTCTAAAGGTACATAAGTAACAGAAGTAGAAAAGCAGGGCTAGAGACAGCACCAAAGGAGATGGAAGATGGTAGACAGAGAGATAAAATGTGTTTGATGCTCAAATGCCCACAGATCTCTGTCCACACTTAAATGGGGAAACAAAGATGACCTTGACTGTCCTAGTCCTCAATAGGTTCACGGCCACACGAGACAAGCACATGAGTGATTTCCAAGAGGCTATGTCTAAACACAGAGAAGGTGTGAGCTCCAGGGAGTGAGGGCAAAGTGGAGGAATCACAGTCCGAAGGACCTGCTGCCCTTAGAGGAACACAATCTGAGGCCAGGGAAGTGACAGAGCCAGCTCTTAGGGGGTTATGTCTGGTTCCACCCAGCCCACACCCTCTGACCAGCTCCCGCCACTTCTTCCCGGGGCAGGTGGGGGTCCAGGCAACTCCCTGCCCGCCCTCAACCCTGCCCCTTCTCTCGCCAGCTCTTTGGGTGGCTGCTTATCGGCGTGGTGGCCATCCTGGTGTTCCTGACCAAATGCCTCAAGCACTACTGCTCACCACTCAGCTATCGCCAGGAGGCCTACTGGGCGCAGTACCGTGCCAACGAGGACCAGCTGTTCCAGCGCACGGCCGAGGTGCACTCGCGGGTGCTGGCTGCCAACAACGTGCGCCGCTTCTTCGGCTTTGTGGCGCTCAACAAGGATGATGAGGAGCTGGTCGCGAAGTTCCCAGTGGAAGGCACACAGCCGCGGCCACAGTGGAACGCCATCACAGGTGTCTATCTGTACCGTGAGAACCAGGGCCTCCCACTCTACAGCCGCCTGCACAAGTGGGCCCAGGGTGTGCTGGGCAACGGCATGGCCCCCGACCATGTAGAGATGTCCCTGCTTGCCTCCTGAGGGTCCTATTCCCACACTCTTGGCCAGTGACAGTATTTGGTCCCAAACTGAACCCCACTGCCTGCTCACATCAGCAGCAGAGGGGACTTCTCTTCTTTGGCTGTGCGTGGCTTGTGGGATCTCAGTTCTCTGACCCAGGGCTGAACCCTCGCCCTCTGCAATGAAGGTGCAGGGTGCCAACCACTGAATTCTCCAGAGATTTTTTTTTTTAACCATGGATTTTAGGGGAAACAGGCCAGGAGAGAAACGAACACAAAGTAAAACTGGGATATGGATGTGAGAGCTGGTAGATGAGGTGGGCTCTGGCAGGAAGGCCCTCAGACCTGAAGAAGTCCCCTTTCCTGTTGCCACCAGCCACTTGGTCAACAGCTTTGGAGAAAAGACCCTTTCCCAGAACTGGTCCTTCATGAACTATGATGTGGAGGATGACCTCTGACTAGAGGGACCCAGTCCCACCAGTGTGGGAAGCCCTGACCAGCAGAGTCAGGTGACGATGAAACTCACCAGCAGGCTCTGAGTGCAGAAGGCTATGCAGTTCATTTGTGGAACTGCACATGGACATCTGGCTCGGTGTGCACAGGTGGGAAGCAGCCCTCTGGCATATGCCTCCAGCTTTGTTTTATACACATTTTGATAAAGCTTTTCTTAATATAAAGGACTAGCTTGGTGTCTGTGTGACTAGATGGGTCATGCTACAGCACGCTGGAGGTCATGATGCTGTGCACTAAGTTGCTTCAGTTATGTCCGACTCTTTGCAACACCTGGACTGCAGCCCACCAGGCTCCTCTGTCCATGGGGATTCTCCAGGCGAGAATACTGGAGTGGATTAGCCTATCCCTTATCCAGGGGATCTTCTCGACCCAGGAATCAAACTGGGGTCTCCTGCATTGTAGGTGGATTCTTTAACAGCTGAGCTACCGGGGGGACAGGACTAAATCCCAGACCTGGGGAGGGAAGAGGACAGAGACCCTGGGAGAGACTGAAATGGGTGGAAGGGAGGGCTGGGGGTCGGGGGAGGCAGAGGCAGGTGCTCCCACTTGCAGGAAAGCCCTGGGGCTGACGATCTCTTAACTGGGTTCAGTCATCTGATTTGATCTGGGAAACAGATGGAGCCTGGCCTTTCTCAGAGGGAAGCTCGGCTTAGACGTCAGGAGTCAGCAGACCCGGCCCCTGTGTAACCCAGAGCTAACGAGCGAGAACAGGCCAGCCCTGCATGGCCTCCCTCCCAGGCCCTCCCTGCCTGAGCACCTGCGCCACTTCTAGGACCTCTGATGCACTCTCCCTTGTCCCTGTCCCACTCTCTGGAGTGGGACTCGGTCATTTCCCACGGAAAAGCTCCCCAGCTCTCAGGACATTTAAAGCTCTGCCCAAGGAAACTTTTAATTCCCTTAAGACCAAGCCAAAAATGAGCTGGCTTCAACTAGCTGGGTCTGGGCTGGCCTCTTAATTCAGGAACACAGGATTATTACTTATCAAAGGAGGCAGAGACAGTCTTTCTGGGAAATTTACAGGAGGTGGGGGTGTAGCGGGCCCATCACATCCCTTCTCCCTCAGGTCCCAAGAAACAAGTCAATGCCCTCTGCCCAGCAATGCCTCAGGGGAGCAACAGGAGGGAGAATCTGTGTAGTCTCCCAAGGTCACATAGCATGTCAATCTAGGTCCTCACTGAGCCTCGCATGTGCCAGGCCCTGTGGCAGCACATAACATACATGCTCTCACTCAGTATTAAAATCCTTCAAGTAGGATTTTTTACCCCATTTTACAAATGAGGCACCCAGTTCAGAGAGGTTGGGTAATCTGGCCCCACTGGCCTTGGGAGGAAACATCACCAGGTGGTTTGAGCTAACACCTGTCACCTTCCTCTCAGGCACTCAGGCCCCTGAATTTCCCATCTGGGCTCTGCCTCTCCTGTCCAAGCCTCACAGCCTTCACCAAGGGGCACAAGGGACCACGGAGCTGAGGCAGAGGCAAGGTCCAGAGATCCCATAATCTAGAAGGTGTGGCCTGCTCCCAGGACCCTCCCGATCACCCCACCCACACCCCCGGCTGGACCAAGAGCCCGCCAGGGCCACAGTGGGATCCTGACTCCAGGGCTGTGGGGAGTCGGCCCTCCATTCCTGCTCCCAGGGACCTCCCACGAAGGAGACTCTCAGGTTCTCTGGGGACCCAGAAGCCTGCTGCCTGCAACCAGTGAGCGGCCCCAGAAAAGGAAAAAGATGAAACAGATTGGTTCTTAACACAAACAAAAAGGAATTATAAGAAATCTCAAATTCTTTTTTATCTTGACAGGATTACCCCAAGGATGCTGCAGAAAAAGCAGCACTTTTAAATAGAGTCCCCAGGCAACACAGTTTCTCAACTGCCCAGGAGCCTGAGGGTCAGCCAGGCTGTCACAGTGCCCTGGAGCCAGCCGGCCCCTAGTCGTCCATCATAGAGCTCTTAGCCTCCACATATTCCAGGGCCTTTGCCTTTACTGCCTGCACATCCTTCTCCGAGCCGTGTTGCTTCTCATAGTCCAGGTAGCGCTTGAAGAAGAATTTCATTCGCTTGGGGGCCAGGCTCAGGTGAATGACCCGCTCGAAGATGTCCCTGGGAGGGAGAGCAGATGGCGTTTACCTCTTAGCCTCTGGCCACATGATTCCTAGCTGACCTTCACTCACTGCTCTCAGGCTCTGGAGCACTCCCACTTCTACCTTTATTTTTATTCCTATTATAAACTGTCACGTCCATAGACAGAGAGACCACCACCCTTGCTTTCCAGAGGAGCAGACTGAGATGTTACAGGACCGAGTGCCCTGAAGGCACACAGTGAATCACGACAGAGCTAACGGGATGGGACAGCCAGTGAGGTGTGGATCTGTGAGGATGGCTCTGCTTAAAACTCACTCAGAGGCGTGGGCGAGGCACCAACTCTTTCTGGACCTCAGTCCAGCCATCTCTAATCCTCCCTGTCTTGGGGCGATGCTAGCAGTGATCGGTGAGATCATGCCTGTGAATACTCTCTACAATGAGAGCCAGGCTCAGCATCAATTATGAGGAAAACCCAGTCTCCTGACTCCCAAGCCTGAGGCCAGCCTACCTCCCAGCTGACGTTCCAGCCAGACCGGTGGCAGGCCCCCAAGGTAGAAAAAGAAATCGGAAACATGAATGCCACAGAACCTGCTGTGTCATCTCAAAGCTGTTTTTCCAGATAGAGAGAACTGGGGTGCTGGGAGCTGCTGTGGGGCTGAAACTCCTCTGAGTGGTCAGTGCCCGCCCCCTGCCCCACCACAGAGTGAGGCCTCAGCCCGTCCTCCCCTCTCACCGGGCTTCCTTCTGGCTGCCATGCTTGATGATCATGTCAATGTAAACCGACCAGACGTCCGTGCGCTTTGGGTAGGCGCTCAGTGTGCTCTCAAAAATGGCCCTGGCACGTTCTGCATCCCCCAGCTGGAACTCAAGCTGGGCAAACTTGGCGATGACATCCACGTCTGCAGGGAGAGGACGGCTCAGACACAGAAAGCAGAGAGATGCCCTCAGCACAACACGTGACACCGTGGGCAGAGTCTGACGCCTGATTCCCTGCCCTTGGGTCCTGAGACCCAGGTGATGCCAAGAGGGACGCAGGGGCGGGTTGAGGGCTAAATACACAGATGGACACTGTTCTACGACTCCCGAACAGCAGACATTCTACTCTCTGGGCCCAGAAGGTGGATGGGGGACAGGAGGTGGGCTGTGGGGCAGGCAGGCAGAGGCCAAAGAATTGATGCTAATCCCTTTTTTGTTCCTCAACCTCTGGAGTTCAGCATTTAAAATGCAACACGAGCACATGTTCACGAGCATATAATCAACAGAGAGCAAGCTACGTACCCTCCAGAAGGTTTCCCTAAACCAGCCCTTGGATGAGAAGACCCCCCATGCCCCTGCCCAGATGCAGGGAGTCTACTGTGCTCAGGAACTGGGTGGGTGGAAGGAATGAGCACTCACGCTCTTTCTTAGGCAGGCACTCAAGGGCTCGCTGCATCACACGGTGACTGGCCTCCGCCTTTCCCCTCCGCAGAAGAAAGGCGCCGTATTTGACCCAGACAGCTTTCTCCTGCCTGAAACGCTTCAGCATCCGGTTATAGAGTTCACCAGCTTCCTGCGGGACGAATGATGTAAGCTGAGGACAGCAGGTGAAAGCGGAAGGGGCAACGACAGAGACAGATGGTGACGCTCATGGAAAGCGAGCCCTGGGCTCAGGGGCTCCCTCGGTGTCCAGGCCCCGATCCAGGTATGTGAGGGGAAAGGGCAGGCACCCAGGATGAGGACAGCATGTGCTGGGGAGTCTCCCTCCTAGCCCCATGCCTCGAGGAGGTCGAGACTAGAAGAGAGAGCGTGAGCGTGATGAAGGAGAGAGACGGAAAGGGGCAACTGGGCTGTATCACCTCCTGTCTGTGACACCTCTGTTGGTGGCTCCAGGGTGGGGGAAATGACTTCTCCCACCTGGAAGATGAGAAAGCCTGGGGCCCAGAGGTGGGGGTTTCCTCCCTCCCCGAGACATCCCCGCTGCCTCAGAGACTTCCAGGAGCTCGTCTCTGAGTGGCTGAGGCCCCTCTGGAAGCCGGCTGCCTGGCTCAGACCCCTACCTGGAATTTCTCTGACTTGGTGTAAATGTCAGCCAGATGGAGAAAGACCTTGAGAGGCTCATTGTACTGCACGGCCCGCTCGAAGACCTTAGTCAGTGACTCCTGGGAGCCATACATGTTTTCTAGGTTCAGCAGGGCCACCCACACGTTCAGCTTCTCTTGCTCCTCTCTGGAGGGAGAACAGTCAACATATGAGTCCATCCTCTCAGCCCCATGAGCCCCCACTCCCAATTGGGGGGCTGGAACTACATCCCCCTCCCCATGTCCTCAGTCCCCACCCACACAAGCCGGCACTCAGAGCCCCTGTACCCACTACAGCTCATGTGGAAGCAGGAATCCCAATCCATGGCTGCAGGGTCTGAGGCTCCCCTGGCTTCTGCCTCCATTCGTGGGAAGGAAATCTACCAAATCTCAAACTGGCCTGAGGTCTGGGCTGGACGGGGCACAACCTGTGGTCTGAATCGCCCCTCAAACTAGGATAATGATGCAAAGGAGCACCATCCCTCTTCACTAGCTTTTGGGAAACCTGTCAGACCCTCGGCCTGGAAGATGGTCACTACCAGGATTTTCACCCAGGTACGTGGAGAGGCAAGTTTTTCCTCTTCTACTTTTCTCCAAGTGGGGCACCTAAAGTGTACGAACTCACGGAAATGTGACTCCAGCTCTCTCAGTGAAGAGGACCATGAAATATAAATGAGCAGATCTATGTCACGGCCAGCCCATCTCTGAGAGAAAGCCTGTGAACCCACGGGCCCTGGTGGCAGTCACCCCAACTGCTGCCGGCCTGCGGAGGAGACATGGCCCTCCCCGAAGAAAGATGGGGCCCAAAGCAGGAAGGCGGGGCCAGGACCTGAAGGAGATGGTCTTGAGCGCCCTCTCGGCCACAGCCCGGGCCTTCTCAATCTCCGTGGCCTGCAGGTGGAAGGCCATGTACTGCAGCCACAGGAGGGAGCTGCTGGGCGAGCTCAGCACCAGTCGGTCAAAGTCCTCGGCCGACTCCGGCTGTCGCCCAGGATCCATCAGCGCCTCCTCGATGCGGGACAGCTCCTTCTCGGCCTTCTGCTTCTCCAGCTCCCTCTCCTTCTTGCTTTTCTTCTTCTGCTGTGGAAAGCAGAGCGGCAGGTGAGTCGTCTGCTCCTCAGGCCCGGAGAGGTCTGCAGTGGAGGCCAGGAGCCGGCAGGGCAGTTCCCGGCTCAGCAAACACTCCCCGCCTGGGACGGCCCCGCCCGCCAGAAGACACCGGGGCTAGGGCGGAGCATGGGGGCCTGGCAGAGCCAAGGGTCCCTGCGAAACGGTGATGCCCTGGAAGACACGTCACCGTGGCTTGCTCTGGTTTCTCGTCCTCCTCACTGTCCGAGCTCTCTCCATGAGGTGGCAAGGCCGGGGTCAGGGTGTCCAGACCCACATCCCAAACGAAGCCAGAAGACAGCTGCAGCCGGGGCGCTTCTGCTGGCCTTTTCAGCTTCTCCTGAGGATCAAAGGCGCATGTGAGGCCAGCACTGGGCCCAGTGGCCCCTGCTCCCCAGCCCCTTCCCACTGGAGGAGCAGGGGCTCCCACCATGCCCAGAAACCTAGAGGTGTAGACCAGGCTACACCCTGGTCCACTGGGGAAACTTATAGGTGTGACGAAAAGTAAATTAAAGAAATAATTTTTTAAAAAGCTACATATGCACACACACATTAATGCTAGCATAGAGGTGTGCCAAACGTTCTCAGGGTGGCAGGAAGCCCTTCCACACCCGTCCTCAGTGTTGTCCTCATTTCTCACAGGGAGACACAGGCTCAGACAGGCTAAAAGCCTTTCTTTCTTTGCCGGCTCTCCCACCTCCTGACTAATTTAATTTAGCTCCACTTAATACATGTGGATTAAAATTGACTTTTAAGCCCACTCAACGGTTAGCAGGGGCCCTGTCCTTAGGACCTGATGATCAACTGAGGAAACTAGCCTCGCCACCTTGTCCTATTTTACAGAAAATGAGGACAAGAAAGGGGTGCTGATGACAGCCCAGTCCTGAGGCAGGAGACCAGGGACCTTCCTCCTGGAGCAGCCTCCTCCCCAGCCCCACCACCCCTCACCTTGGGCAACACGCTCATCTCTTCTACCTCTTCTTCTCCTTCCCGGTAATACACTTCCACGCCACTGTCGTCCTCCTCAGACAGGGCAGCTTTCTTCTGCTTCTTGTTCCCAATTTCCTAGGATGGCAGGCAGGGACGATGCTGAGCCTCGCTTCTCTTCCTGGCCCAGGGGGTGCTTGATCCCTGCCTTCCAGCAGCACCCAGTGCCCCACCCAAACTCAGCTGCTCTCAGTCCAAGAGGCTGAGGCGAGGCAGCTGCTGGGGGCTTCTGAAAGGCTCGCCTTCTCACGCGAGGGGAGGCCATCTTCCCAAGGGCCCTACCTGCTCACTGCTGGACTCGGGGTGCGGCCGCTTGCCCAGCTTCTTTGCCTGGGGCTTCTGGGGCTCTTTCTTATCCTTGCTGGGTGGCTGCGCCCCCTCCTGCCCCTTCCTAGTTCTCCTCTCTTTCTGTTTCTGCTGCTGCTTCTCCTTTGCTCTTCCTTTGTGGTCTCTCTCCGCTGCCTCCGTTTCCCGCCCCTCTTGCTTCGGAGGTGGCTGTCCCAGGGGGGCAGAAAGCGCGTCCTGCTTCCCAGTGTCACCGGGAAGAAGCGACAGCTCTACCAGGCTCTCCCGATGGTTCAGACTACGACAGGATGACAGGGAGAGTGGGTGACGAGGACTACACAGTACAATGGGTCCACCCCCACCTGCCCTGGAATCCATTCAGTCATCTTAGCAATGACCCACACGCTGTATGACACTTAGTATAAAAGTACAGAGCACGGCTGTGCTGCCCCTTCCTCCGGCCCCAACTACAGGTGCTGTGCAAAGAAAAGGCTACACATCCGCTTTCAGGAGCTGAGGCAGAAGGCACCAAACAAAGGGATTTCATGGACCGCATTTATCATTACCTAGGCCATGATGTTTGAAGTTTACCTCTCAGTCTCCTCCCAGATTTCCCAGAGAAAGGGGTGAGAGAGAGAGAAGGCACCCACCGTAGGACCTTGGCTGTGAGCAGCTTCCCCTCGGGGAGGTGTCTGTCATAAGGAGCTTTCTTGGACTGGTTGTGCTGGGAGACGTGCGGGTGTTGGGCCAAACCCGTAACTGAGGGGCCAAGGCTGACAGGAGAGAGACAAGCGTCCCGTGGTCGTAAACATGGCAACGGAGTCCCAGTCAAGCCAGTGCTCGCACCCTCCCAGAGACCCAGTGGGACAAGGATTTACAACAGACACAAGGTTCTTGGCATTCAACTAACTAAAGAGGGCTCTGTAGACTGGAAAAATCATCCAGCATAATGGAGATATAATTGAAAGGTATCTTTCACCCCATATCAGAGCATCACAACACACAACTCAAAAACTGCTAGAAAGACAGAAGAGAATAAGAAATGTACTAACAGCAGGGAGGCTGCAACGTCTGGTGCGAGTGGTTCACGGAGTACTCACAGACTGTGACACGCCGTATTCTTTGTCCAAAACACAGAAGAATAATTTAAAACTTCTTTTAAAGTATGGAAAGACTTGGAATTTAAAACACTGTGGGAACTCAGAGTCTCCTTCCTTCACGTTCCGTCAGAGATGGTGACTGAGGGAGCAGTGGGGGCCAAGCAGGACAGGCTCCTGGAGGACACTCGGGGTCGGTCCACGTCCCCAGGCTCTACCTCACTCACCCTACGAGCACGCCGGACGGCTGCACGGACTTCACGAAGCCCCTCAAGAGCTGCCCTTCCTCAAGGTCCTCGATGGAGTTAATCTCTGGATCTGTTATTTTGCTTTTCGTCTCTGGGTTTGTCCTAAAGGGATAAAAAGGCTTACACACATACCTCTAACCCTTTGCCCACCCTCGCCTCTAACTCTCCCGTGATAATGTGCTCAGTCACTCAGTCACGTCAGACTCTTTGCCAGCCCATGGACTGTAGCCCGCCAGGCTCTTCTGTCCATGGAATCTCCCAGACAAGAATCCTGGAACCGCTTGCCATTTCCTACTCTAGGGGGATCTTCCCCACCCAGGGATCAGGCCCACATCTGCTGCATCTCCCTCACTGGCAGGACTCCTGACCGCTGCCCAACCTGAGAAGACCTCCTCTGGTAACAACTCTTTGTAAGAATGTGACTCTGGACCTGTCAGTAGGACATCACCTGCAGAGCCCAGCCCCGCCTTCTTCTGAAGTCCTGTCTGCCCTGGACAGCACTAATAGTAACAAGGAGAGGGTGAGCTGGCCAGAGGGAGGTCAAGCCTCATAAATGTCCATTTCAAACCCTGACTTCAGCCAATCCACTTAACGGCACTCGCCCCTGCTGTATAACCCTGGGGGCTACATCACCTCCCTTCACCAGGACCACCAGCAGACAAGCCCAAGCCCCACTCTGGATGTCTGCACCTTTCCCTGGGAAACAAGAGCCTGAGCAGACAGGTTCTACAGTTAGAATGTCAGCTTTTCTGGATAAAAACAGGGCCGGGAATAAAGCAGGTGAGCAGTGAGGCAAGCTGGGGAGGCCCAAAGCTCTGTCAGATCCATGCAGCCTCTCCTCAGTCCTCTGGGAGGTTCTTCCCCGATTCTTATCCTGACGACACAGACACTCACCTGGACGATCTCAGCGACAAAGTCACTACAGGGCTCGCAGCAGACAGGACGTAACACCTAGAACGGGAGCAAAGGAGAAGGCAATGCAGACCCCACACCTTGGGAGACGGCAGAGGGCCTCGGCTTCCTCTCACAAGGCTGAGCAACAGGCCAGTGAGGGCTCTGCTCTTCATCCCGCTGACCACCTGCTGAGGGACTCGGACAGGGCCCCGCTCTGGGCTTCAGTGTACTAGTCCAGCAAGTAAAAGCAGCGCTACTTGCTCTTCTCACCCAAGAACAGTGCTGGCAGGAGGAAACCAGAGGACACGCAAGCCCTCTGGAAGGCATGCAGAGCCACGTGGGGAACACGCAGGAGACGAGACCTGCCCCGTGTCGGCGGTTGGGAGGGTTTGATCTCGTGGAGAGGCTCACCCAGGGAACCGTGGCAGGGATGGCCCAGGACCACTGCAGATTCACAGTTCAGAGGTGGCCCCCTGAATGAGACCTAAGCAGAAAAGGCTTCTGGGGGGAAGGCAGGGTTTACTCTTGCTAGGGTGCTTCCACACTCACATCTTAGAAAATGGCAAGTAATAGCCTGAAGTCACAGGGTCAGGAATCTTATCAGGAGGAAGGGTCTCAGCAACAATACAGCCCAAATCCTCCCACTATGGCATCTGCATTCCCCACCAGGGTATCACGGCCCTTAACGCAGGGAAGGACCTGAAGGGACTGTCTGCCTTTAGGGAGTTAATTTATCATCCACATTTGAGAGTCAAATGAACTACAACTGAACACTACTCATATGCTTAACTATTCAGTTCAGTTCAGTCGCTCAGTCATGTCCGACTCTTTGCGACCCCATGAATTGCATAGTCTGACATTGTTTCCCCATCTATTTGCCATGAAGTGATGGGACCAGATGCTTAACTATAAGGTTACTTAAAAAAAATATTTTGCTAAAAATAAAAAATAAATAAAAAATAAAAATAAAAAAATCACATCCATATTTTGTAAGCCTAAAGGAAACAGAGATGATTCTGGATTTCTCTGTGACATTCTTCTTCTCCTAGGCCCTGGGCATTTTTGTGCTGTTGAGCTCTGGCAAGTGGTTGAGAATGAAAGCAAGTGCTGGTGGCTGGGACACTCGAGATGGGAAATGGCAATTACTACTTTCCAGTCTCAGCCTCGGGAAGGCGCCTGCTCCATCGCTGGATAATTGTGTGCGACTGTCAGAAAAGTATGTATTGTACCAAGCTGAAATATGCCTCTCCAATGCTAGTTTATTCAGGCTATAAAACAATTTCAAAACTCTGAAGCAGGTTCATTTCTATGTATCCAAAACAGTTAATAAAGCAACTTAACCAAGCAAAGCATAGAATAAATGTAAACAGCCAATAACCATGAAAAATGACCAGTAAAAGAAATTCAAATTAAATTAAGAGATCAATCTTGGCCTATTCAATGGCAAGATTAAAAACTAAGAATATCCAGTGTTGGATAAAATTAAGTTTCAGTGTCAAGACTTCCCTGGTGGTCCAGTGGTTAAAACTCTGTGCTCCCAATGCAGGGAACATGGTTTTGATCCCTAGTTGGGGAAGTAAGATCCCACATGCCACACAGAGCAGTCAGAATAAAAATATCCAGTGTTGACAGCAGTGTGAAAAATTAACAGACACATTAACAGTTAACAGAGATAAAATTTAGCACAGTCCTTTTGGAAGACACTTTGGCAAGATGTATAACATTATTTAACCCATCAATTTTACTTTTAGAAATTTATTTCACAGACATACTTGCACTAGTATCCAAACATGTGCAAATATACTCACTTCAACATTACTGTCCATCAACAGAATTATTTACATAAACTGTGATTTAAAAAAAAAACACATAATGCAACTCAAAAAAAATGATAAAAGGTAAAAGAATAAGCAAGTTTTCGAACTACAAGCATAGGAAAGAAAAAGTGCATGAGTCACTGCTATGAAGAAAAAGCAAGTTGCAGAACAGTATAGAAAATTAAATTCTACTATTACATAAGGGAAAATTATAACTACCTATATTAGGGTCTTGAAAGAAATCGAAGCAAAAGTGATGGAGAAACAGAGGAGCAACAGCAATGTTCAGTTTCCATTTTATATACTATTTTTTTTTCTGGTACAAAACCACACACCTATAATTTAAAAAATCAAAACCCAAAAAATCCCCACCAATCCCACAGATAACAGAAAAAAAGGAAAAGAATCCAGCCTACCTGACAATCTGCTGTGGGGTGAAGTCTTCCAGGTGCGTTTCTGAGTAGGAGTCACTCACATGAAACATACTGACTCTTCCAAGCCTCCCAAAGGGGAAGGAGATGATCAGGCCCTCCTTGGGAGTCACCTTCACCACACGGCCCATGGCCACTTCCCCCTTCTTGAGCTTGTGAGGACCTGGCAGGAGAATGAACCAGATTCAGGGAAGAAGAAATGAGCCAAGAAAGAAGCTGAGACAGTAGCCAACCAGAAGCCAGGGGGAGGTGGAGGTGTCTGGACTTAGGGTGTCTAGACTGCATGGGCCAGAATGATCACACTGTGCCATGTGATCAAGGATGCCAGGGCCAAGTGCTGGACAACGCTTTCTGAGAGACCTAATATAAACAACTGTAGGTAAAGGTGTCTCAGACACAGGCCACAGAGCAAAGCCCCAAGAGAAAAGCTGTTCCAAGGACACAGCCTCTGCACTAGACTTTCTGAGGATGCCGATATCCATGGCATCCTTCAACCTGAGCGATGACTAAGACCTTCTCCCAACCCTTTCCACCCCCTCCCTTCCTTGACCAGGTCCCGTTTCATCACCACACCTATGAGTGAAAGAGACAAGAAGGCCTTGGAGGAAACTGCTGGGCCAACCACAGTGGCCTTCAGGGCCTGGCCAATCCGGAACTTCTTATCTGGGTGTTTCAGAACCTAGAAGGGCAAAAAATTTCCTTTGATGTTTGAAGAAAGGCCTGTCATTTATCTAAAACCACAGTACAGTATGTATCCCCCACGGGATGGTTCCCTGTCCCCACTGTGAGCACACACCAAGGATTAAGTTGAGCTCAGGGAGCCGGGGTCTCCTCTCCAGGCATCTCAGGCACACTGACCTTGAAGCTAAGAGAAGTGAGCAGCAAGGGAATTCTCCCTCGGACGTCTGGAGCAATCTCTACCTCGAGCCATTTCTTAACCATGTTGTACTAGGAGAGAAAAAAAAACGAGAGGAGAAGTGGAATGGGGCAGATACAAGCATCTTTTCTTTTCCTTTCACTAAAACAGACACTCCTAAAATCACACAGCTGAAAGGGCCCTAATCCTACATTTTCCCAAGTAACAGGAACTCACCCCCATGGCCCAATGCCCCTGCCCACCCTCCACTTCTCACAGGCTTTACTCAGTCGAGCTCAGAGCCTCCACCAGCCCAGCAGAACACACATCCTTCCTGGTGCCTCAGCTGATCAGGAGGCAGAAAAGGCCTCGGAGACAATGTCCCAAGCAGTAGCACCAATCCCGCTGACCTCGCAGCCTCCTCCAAGCTCAGTTGTGCACAGTGAGTTAACAGCCTTCAGGGACTAACATCTCATTTCTAAATCAGTTTAGATTTTTCTATTGACACAGTGCTCTGCCCTAAATATACACCCCAATTTTCAAGTCAACTCAGTAAAACATTTATCAAGTAGCCACTACACACGGCATGACAGTGATAATAGCCAGGCCCTGCCTTCAAAGAGATTACAGTCTGCAAAAAGTAAGTTGAATGAGTATGTAAATAACTAGAGCAGAAAGCAACACACAGGAATATAATATGCTACAGACTCTATAGGAGAACTAGTAAGAAGGGAAGGTTATCTGTGCTAGACCCTGAATTATAGGCAATGGGAACAGACAGTACCCCAGTGTAGAAATAAAGAAGGGAAAAAAAGGTGGCTTTCAGCATGACCGGTACCCCAGATTCACGAGGTCAGATTATAAAGAGTCCTTTTTTTGGCCACAGCGTGTGACTTATGGATCTTAGCTCCTGACCAGGGATCAAACCCATAGCCCTGGCAGTGGAATGGGAATTCCCTCTGAAGAACCTTAAATATTACTCTAAGGCATCTTGGGTTTATGAATGTCTATAGACAAAAAGTAACTAAAGGTATCAAGCATCATGGACATAATTAGACAGATGCTCATGCAGGAAGACTCTGGCAACACTGAAGAGGAGTTATCCCTCAAGGTCAAGCCCAGACAGACCTTGACCTTCTCTCTGATATATTCCAACCAGTACAGTTCTCACTGATCTCTTCCCTTTACTCAACTACTATTCCACTTAGGGTTTGAACACATAATCTGACACCCAATTTACATATTGTTTTACACTGTTCCTGAACTTTATGAAAGGCAAAAATCTAAAATCCAATACTTTATTTTAAATAAAATTTTTTATTTCTTGTATGTTCTGATAAACTTTATTTGTGGATACTGAAATGTGAATTTTATGTTATTTAAAATAAAGTACCGGATTCAAATTCTTGCTCTATGATGTATTTTCCTGTCTATTTTGTACAAGAAATCTACAAACACGTAGAACTGTGAGTTGCTTGCTCTTTGGAAGCCATAAATTTAGCTCCTTGAATAGACCAGATGTTTTCTAAGAGCACAGGGGTTCTACTGTCTCCCACAAATCAGCAAGGCAGCAAGCACAGAATCAAAGCCTAGTGTAAATGGTCATTGTCAGTTCCTCACCCCTTTCTTCTATAAGAAAGACAGCATTGCATTGCAGGGCATGCACTTCTCACCTTCTTCAAGAAGCAAGTCACAGTCTGACCAGACTGATACTGTTTAATCTTCTCCAAGGGGCTTACAGAGTGAGTGTTGAGAGCAGTATGGCCATCCTCCTTCAGCACACTGTTTGCAGAAAGGCAATGGAAAGAGTAAACCAACCTCTATAAGCTTCTAGCTTGCGACCGTCTCCCCCAACTGGCCTTGGATTAACCTTATTGGACTCCCCCAACACATACACACCAACCAGGCACCCCCCCAATTTCCGTTCATTAGGGGAATGAATGTTCACAATACCTGCATGAAAGTTAATCCTTTCCAACTCACTCACCTAGGTGTGAACAAACTACAAAGTAGGTAGCCAACAATAATCTTCGTAAGTGTAGAAAATGAAATTGCTTTACTTCTTTCAATGCTTGAGCTACTGCTTTACTGTCTGCAGAACTGCTTTCACAAATGAATGTGACAACACTCTCATGTGTGCCTCAAACAGGAAAGATACTATTAAACTCATTTTATGCTACAGACCCAGGAACTCAAGTCAGAGCTTCTGATTCAAAAATTCAGGGCTCTGTCCCATGCTACCTTGGCACTATCACTTTCTTGATTCTCTTTGTCTATGCAGAAAAGCAACGAGGAGATGTGGTCTGAAAATTATCAGTCTACAAATCACTTCAAAGGAAGCACAGAATTCCCACCATTCCAACCCAGCCCAGCTTACCTATCCAAATTTCTAAAACAAAACAGAACTCGTCAATAAAATGGTACAAGTAACACTGGTATAAATGTAACATATAATAGCCAAGTACTGGCGAATATAAAAACCACAGGCAACTCATATACAAGTAAAGCTGAAATACAGATATTTTATGAACTTTGAGAACATGGTACTAAGTGAAATAAGCCAGTCACAGAAGGACTATGCATGACTCCACTCATATGAGGCATCTAAAGACATCAAACTCAAACTCAAAGAAACAGAAAGAAGAATAATGGTTGCAAGAGGCTGAGAGGTGAGCAGGAAATGAATGTGTATAGTTTCAGTTATACAAGATGAAAAGTATACAAGATGAAAAGGTTTACAACAATGTGCATATAGCTAACAATGTGGTAAGAGGGTAAATTTACATCGTGTTTTCACCACAATAAAAAAAAAATTTGAAAAAAGATTAGAATACAGATAAATACAAAGAAAAGCCCATATGAAGACACTGGGAGGAGAGAGGCATCTGCAAGCTGAGACAGGTCTCAGAAGCACAAACCCTGCCGATACCTTTGTCTCAGACCAAAAGTCTCCAAAATCATGAGAAAATAGATGTCTGCTGTTTAAGCTAAAAAAAAAATTAAAAGTAAAACACAAACATACATTACAAGTATGTGTTATCTTTTTTCTTTTTCCCAAATTATTTTAATTTACTTTTCTCTCTCAAAAAAAAAAAAGCAGCCATAACTACATTAATGCCAAGAGAAAACTCAGTGACTAACAGGAATTCCAAAGACACAGGTAAAGACTCCTGAACGGTCTGCTCTCCTAACTGCAGCCCCTCCAAAGGAGTAATTAATTGATCAGGAAACATCTCATCTAGTTTGAGAGACCCTCACCCACCCTCAACTCTGCTCCAAGATACAGGACATTCTTTTTGTGCAGGAGATCTCCATATCCAAGTGGGGATGAAAATATGGTGTTTTGTCAAGTAGGTCAACACCACTGATTAAACAAATGTTTTTCCTCCTGACTTCAAGATATGTAATTTTAAACAAAAGCATTTGAGAAAAACAGCAGTTATACCATTATGTTTATACTATGCTTCTCAGAGGCGTTGATTAAAATAAAATAATTAACAATACAACACAGGTGCATGGAGGAGGTGCAAGATGTGCTAGAGTTTTACCTGTCCATCTATCTGTCTGTTATTCTAACTCTCCATCCCACATCTCCTTAATGGAATGCACTCATTTCCTGGCTTGACCCACAGTGCCACAGCATTGTCAGCATCTGGTACTCAAGGTTCCAGAAGTATTTCCCTATCTCAGACACAAGCCTTCTCAGAACTATTCCATTTCTGTTCTGATCCCTTTGGGATGCTGATCAAACCTTAACCTCAGAAAGCTGTTTAAGTGGTCCTGTCCTTCCATGACATCCTAGGCACATAAGATTTACAGCCTAGATGGATGGGGACCTGACTGCAGAAGCACTGGCAATAATGTGGGTCTAGCTTCATTCACAGATGGCCTATTCAGTTCCAAGAGGCTGGGTTTTTTTTTTTTTTTTTTAATGTGGGAAGCAGAAGCAGATAGGCCCACAGATCAACATGCTTAAGATTCTCTGAAAGAATGACCCAAAATTGGATCCACCACTACGCAAACTACTAGTTCTACCAGTCTACTACTAGTTCTACTAAGTTCACTCAGAATCTCTTGTGAACATCCCTTTGCATAATCCACTAGAGTATGACCTAAATTTTCAGTCACCAAGCAGTAGTCCACACTCAAAGAACAAGTATGCTTGGCTACACGGTGTATGTTTAGGGAATTACTGAGTTCTAGAATACTAGGTGCAAATAGATTCAAGGGATTAGATCTGATAGATAGAGTACCTGAAGAACTACAGACAGAGGTTCGTGACATTGTACAGGAGGCAGTGATCAAGACCATCCCCAAGAAAAAGAAATGCAAAAAGGCAAATAGGTTGTCTGAGGCAGCCTTACAAATAGCAGTGAAAAGAACAGAAGTGAAAGGAAAAGGAGAAAAGATGCACCCATTTGAATGCAGAGTTCCAAAGAGCAAGGAGAGATAAAGCCTTCCTCAGTGACCAATGCAAAGAAATAAAGAAAAACAATAGAATGGGAAGGACTAGAGATCTCTTCTAGGAAATGGCAACCCACTCCAGTACTCTTGCCTGGAGAATCCCATGGATGGAGGAGCCTGGTAGGCTACAGTCCATGGGGTCGCTAAGAGTCGGATACAACTGAGCGACTTTACTTTTTACTTTCAGAGATCTCTTCAAGAAAATTAGAGATACCAAGGAAACATTTCATGCAAAGATGGGCACAATAAAAGACAGAAATGGTATGGACCTAATGGAAGCAGAAGATATTAAGAGGTGGCAAGAATACACAGAACTATAAAAGATCTTCATGACCCAGATAACCATGATAGTATGATCACTGACCTAGAGCCAAACATCCTGGAATGCAAAGTCAAGTGGGCCTTAGGAAGCATTACTACGAACAAAGTTAGTGGAGGTGATGGAATTCCAGTTGAGCTATTTCAAATCTTAAAAGATGATACTGTGAAAGTGCTGCACTCAATATGCCAGCAAATTTGGAAAACTCAGCAGTGGCCATAGGACTAGAAAAGATCAGTTTTCTTTC